TATCAATTCCAAATATTACGGTTTATTGGAATGCTTTTGTCTCTGATATTGCCTGGAGGAAAGTTTGGTTGATTCCAAATAGATACTTAATTACTAATAAGATAAAAGTTTCTTTTCGAATTATCCATCGTATATTTCCTGTTTATACTTTCTTAAGGGAATATAAAAAAGATATTGATACAAACTGTTCTTTTTGCCGACAGCACCCAGAGACTATAGTGCATTTATTTTGGCACTGCCATTATCCTAAATTGTTATGAAAAAAACTCTCTTTATTTGTTATTGAGAATATCGATAAAGCTTTTTCTTTACTTTGGGAAAATGTTTTGTTTGGTTTGTTAATTAAAAAATTTATCTGCATTTACAGAAAAACTAATTGTACTTAATCTCCTTATTTTGTTAACAAAGTTTTAAATACATAAATGTAAATGTTCATGTCAGAAGCCAGTGTTTTATGTTTTGCTTGCTGAAATACAGCATGATTTTGAGACTCTTTCTAACTCATGTAATAAGAAGGCTTTAAAAAACTGTTGAAATTTGTAAGCTGTTTAATCTTTTCCTTTGAATGCAATGTGTTTTGTTTAATTTCATACCCCTGTCTAGTAATTTATTTGTTTTGTTATTATAATTTTTTATTTATTCAAATTTTTTTTATTATTTTATTTTGTATTTTTGTATTGCTACTGCTTTCTATTTTGGCTGACAATGTTCATAATGATAAAAAAGACACTCTCATTATTTCAGTAAGATCAGGGTTGAGAGTGACTGAATCTCCCTCCATCACTGATATTTCTTCTGTATCACCAAACACACAGAGAAAAAAACAGAAACAAGGTTTGTCACAGATTAATACTGTTAAATAAGTTTGATTGTTTACTAAATCAAATAGTTTAAATTTTAGATTGGAAATAATCAATGTCATAAAACAACCAAAAGAAACAAAATGAATGAATGAATGAAATTGTTGTCATAAAAAAACAGGTGATTTTTTTTAAACTCACCATAGACCGTGAGAACGAAATAAATACTGCTATAGTTTTTTTCAGTAGTTGAAAAACTCCATGTCGAGTTGTGGTGTTTGTGATGGTCAGAGATCCAGTTTGATCGTCCAGCTTCAGTCTGTCTCTGAATCTCCCATCAAGAACATCATCATATACAGTCATGCTGTTGGCCTGTTTATTGATTTCAGCGATTGTTTTCATTTAAAAATGTTCACTGAAACAGATTATCATCCATTATTTCAGTGCGACCAGAGTTTAGAATGTCTGAATCTCCCTCCTTCACTGACACTGACTCCCCAAACACACCTGAAGAACAGAGTTTGTCACACATTAAAGCTTGTGTCACGGTGCACACACACGAGGGACGAGGAGACGCTGGAGAATACTTTACACAAGACTTTATTCGTAGGAAGGAACCAAGGGAGACGAACTCAGGAAGACGTAAACAGGAAGACCTTTACAGGAAGACGTTCAACATCCGACAGAGCACTAGGGACTGGGAACACTTTATATACACACACAGGAGGAGGGGATGACGAGACACACCTGGGAGCAATGACACACCTCACGCCATATAACATCCAATGGGGAGGTGGGGGTGGGCACTCTGGAGGTCCCTAAGGACAGACACGGGACAGTGGGCCTCCAGAGCGGTACCCGTTCGGGGTGTCATGGCGGATCAGGATCCTCGGGAGGCCATGGTGGATCCGGGGACTCGGGAGGCCATGGCGGATCAGGATACATGGGGAGCAGGACACACACAAAACATAGAACAGAGTCTGACAGCTTGACTTTGTTTTGATGAACCTTCACTAAAATATCGTTATTTATTTGAATGTAAAGTGAGTAATATTCTTCAGCATGAGAAACTCTAAACATACTGAATGAAAGAGGAAATAGTGAGAGATTTATATGGAAAAATAATTAAATAAAAAAGGCACTTTAATGTCACAAAAACTAATGTTGTTGTTCATATTTATATTATTTTACTTAATCAATCAATTAATTAATAATAAATGAGTATAGATCTGAATTCAAACTTGATATTACAGTAAAATCACCATTTAATTATTTCTATATGAGAATAACAGTGAATGTTAATCCTCTCTGGCTGATTTAACCAGTAATTTATTACATGCTACCAGAACAGAAGCAACTGAAATCATAAAAGCACATTTCAAACTCACCAATCAGATGCCAGAAACACAAACAGAACCAAAATCTGTGAAACATCTTCAACGGTTTCAGTCTACAAATCATACAAAAAGACGAACTCTTCAAAAAATGATTGACGTGCTGATGTGAAGCTCCTCTGTAGTAAAATGAAATGAATCTTCGCCTTCATCTAAAATAATTGCATATCTTTAAATGTTAATGCATGTGACTGCCTAGCACTTTTTTTGGCTAATTAATTCACACTCTGAACATTGTCACTTTGAGCTCCAGCAGGCGTTAACTTCCTGTACATCAATGGTGTTGTTTTCAACAGAAATAAACTGAGCCATAACATATGAAATGTGTCTTAAAGTAAAAGTTTCAACTTGTCACGAGATCCTGAGAGTGTTTGGCTCTGGGCTGCGTTTCCCAAAAGCATAGTAAGTTTATCGTAGCCCCATTGGTGACAATGGCTCTACATTCAGCTTAGGCTTACGATGCTTTTGGAAACGCAGCTCTGCTCTCTCCTGTAACTGTCTTCAGCACGTTTTTGTTCATTTCTTATCAAATGTCTCAACTGTTTCTACTCTCAGGCTGATTTCAGAGTTTCTCTAATGGCTTTATGGAGCAGGAACAGATCTCCTGCTAGAACTGAATGGTTAAAATCTCATATTATTAATATTCAGCAGCTACGGATTATGATGCTGATGTGACGCTCTAAATGCTTACTTTCTTCCAACACTGCATTAGTCCTTACAGCTGCTATTAGAGTATGTGAGAGGAGGTTTTTCAGTCATCATGGTCTGACCCTTATCATCAGATCAGACTGTGGCCCGCAGTTCATGTCTGCTCACTTTCAACAGTTCTGTGAGGCAAATGTCATTCTACATGTGAAGACAACACCAAAATGGGCACAGGCAAATGCTGAGGTGATGTGACCATATTAAAAAGACTGGAAACACACCATATACAGATCTGCTGAGCTGCTTCTCCAACTAGAAAATCAGGGGAAGCTGAAGTTCTCTTGAGTTAGAAAACTGACAACTCAATTGAACTCGATTTCCAGACATTATGTTGTCCAAAAAGGGAAAATGTGTAATCTGTGTACACAATAAAAAAAAAGTACCACTTTTGTGAAGAAATTGCTTGTTGTGAATGCAAATGACACCCAGCTGAACGTCAAAAGCAATCAGACAGAACTAGTGGAGTCAGTGGCAGAGGATACTGATAACATGCAGATTCAGACTGAGACACTAGATGATGTTGTTGATCCACAGATGAAACACAGACACAGAGATTTAAAGATTTTATCGTTGTCTGTCGGAGGAAATGGAGTGCTGATATGCTGTGTTTACGTATTTCACTGTGTTCTTAAAGTATATTATGTCTCACAAATCAGTATTTTCTCAGGTTAAAGGAGAAGCTGGGGGAAGTTTGTTTGGGACTGTGGATAGAAAAACGAAAATTAATAAGCTAATAATGTAAACATTTATGAATAATATTTTAAATAATATTTTAATAACAATGTAAAGCACTGCTAAAATTATTCAAATATATATGATTCATATTCTTCCAGGAGGCGCTAAATATAATAAATGCAGTAAAACATGGAGAGACTCTTAAACCTTAAAGAGTGAATGGAAAAACTTTATTGATAAAGGCAAGCAAATACAGATGACAAATAGACAGCGATAGTAAAGTGAGATCTGTGTCTCTTTATTAATCCATTTGAGGGAAATAAACAAAGCCTTTCAAACTGGATTTTTTTTAAACACACACACACACACACATGAATAACCTTTAAAAAACAGTGTTCCACTTCAAATTTCAATACTTTCTGAAAAAGACAAACATGTAAAAGCCATAAATTAAAGGGCTAGTTCACCCAAAAATGAAAATTAGTCCGTGTTGTACTCACCCTCAAGACATCCTAGTGTATATGACTTTCTACTTTCAGATGAATCCAATCGGAGTTATATAAAAATTTTCTTTGCTCTTTCAAACTTTATAATGGCATGGGCGGATGTTTTTTTTTCAACAGTCCAAAAGACATCAAAAGCACATCCATCCATATTAAAATCGATGTTTTTTTGTAAGAAAAATATCCATATTCAAAACATTATAAACCCCTTTCTCTCACTTCTGCTAACTGTCGTAGGCGGAAGCTGTTCCGACGTAGGACGTATGCGTAGCATAAGCGCCGGTGATTAGTGACGAATGCGGAAGCGCGACGGAGAGAACAAAACAAAACGCCGGTCACGAATTAGAAGCATAAAACGAGGATTTGTAAAGAAAAATGTCAGAGGATTTCGATATAAGCCAAGAGCGAGACTCGCATGCGCTATGCATACATCCTACGTCATCCGCCCAAAAGTGTAGCGGAAGTTACATAAAACTGTTTATATCGTTTTAAATATGGATTTTTTTTTTTTTTTTACAGAAACGCATCAATTCGCTACAGGAAACCTTTATTCACCCCCTGGAGCCATGTGAGGCATGTTTTAATATGGATGGATGTGCTTTATTTGACTACTTTTGGACTGTTGAAAAAAACATCCGCCTATGCCATTATAAAGCTTGGAAGAGCAAGGGAAATTTTAATATAACTCCGATTGGATTCGTCTGAAAGAAGAAAGTCATATACACCTAGGATACCTTGAGGGTGAGTAAAATATGGACTAATTTTCATTTTGGGTGAACTAGCCCTTTAAATGATACATACATGTATAAAAAACAGCTAAGAAATGACATCAGTCATGTACCAGATGTGTGAATATGTGCTCGATCTTGTTGAGCTCTTCTGGATCTGATGTCATAAACCAGAAGATTGACAGTAGCCACGCCCACCAGAGCAGAGAGGACCAATCGGATCACAGCTTCAGTAGAACCACAACAGTGGACAGAGTCTGAGGAATAAAAACATCAAACTGAGATCAGCTCAGTCAATAAACGCTATTATCAAGAATAGTTTAATTCTGAGCCTGTATGAAAACTAATAGCAGAAGAGCGGCTGAATTGCGTAAGGACACTGAATTTCTGCCAAAAGCATGTCAGCATGTGTTCAGTGATTAGAATATAAAGCTTGCAAACAGTTTAACATAACTAGAGCCCAGTGTTTCCTACTTTGACAGCCCAAAATTAAGAGTTCCAACACATTTTCAGTGTCCAGAGTAAAAAGTTTTAAAGGGATAGTTCACCCAAAAATGAAAATTGTATTACTATGTTATATTACTCACCCTCATGTCGCTCCAAACCTGTAAGACTTCCGTTCATCTTTGGAACACAAATTAAGATATTTCTAATGAAATCCGATATCCTCCATAGACAGCAAAGGCCCTACCATGATCAAGGCAAAGAAATGTTGTAAGGGCATCATTAAAATAGTCCATGTGACATCAGTGGTTCAACCGTAATTTTAGGAAGCTACAAGAATACTTTTTGTGTGAAAAGAAAACTAACAACTTTATTCAACAATTCTTCTCCTCCGCATCACCTTATGGCACCATTTTGGAGAGTATCATGACATGTGCGCATGATTTTCCTGCACGTAAACAATGAATGCGAACACGCCTTATTTACACTCTCCAAAATGGCACCATGGGGTGATACGGAGGAAAAGAATTGTTGAATAAAGTTGTTATTTTAGTTTTCGTTTCACACAAAAAGTATTCTCGTAGCTTCATAATATTACGGTTGAACCACTGATGCCACATGGACTATTTTAACGATGCCCTTACTACGTTTCTGTGCGTTGGTCATGGTAGGACCCTTGCTGTCTATGGAGGTTCAGAAAGCTCTTGGATTTCATCAGAAATATCTTAATTTGTGTTCTGAAGATGAACGAAGGTCTCACGGGTTTGGAACTACATGAAGGTGAGTAATTGACAGAATTTTCATTTTTGGGTTAACTATCCCTTTAAAGTCAACTCAAACATCTTTCCACAAAAACACTGGAAATTATGCTCATATGAAAATGATGCGTAACTGGGACCTGTTGTGTTCCTAAATGCACATTAAACTCACAGCACATGCGGAGATGAAGTTCGAAGCATTCTCGGTGAACTGATACAAAGATGAAGAAATGAACTTCTTGTTTGCTGAACCATTGCAAAAAATATATATATATATATCACAATATCACATTTTCAATCATGCTAATAAAAAACAGCACTCTTGCTCATGTGATATTAGTTAACTACATCATATTCACCCAACAGATCAAACCACATTTCTGTACAGATAAAACAGAGGAAAACCACTGCAGGGTCCATTTGACTCAAAAACGAGTGAATCACATTTGTGATGTTTGCCTTTGTTACAACAAAATTGTGAAAGAAAACATAGAGTAAATGTAGTTGTTCATTTAGAAAAAAAAAATGCACGATTTCCTGAGAGATTTGGGGTGGGTTGCACCAATAAGGATTAAGCTTAAATCTAGTTTAAATCAAGGTTTATCTAATAATTCTGTTGCACCAAACTTTAAACCTTGTTTAAAAATAAGCAGGTAACCATCATTTTGATCCTGGATTTATTTTTTATTTTTTAATAGATTAGCTTTAATCCTGTTGCTCCATAACTTTGGAAAATCTTTAAATAAAATAAAGTGCACCTATAGTTACAATATGTGGCTGATTGAACAAAGACAGAAACTGTGGGTGAGTCGTCACACTCTAAAAAATGCTGAGTTAAATACAACCCAATGCTGGGTAAAATAGGGACAAACCCAGCAATTGGGTTGTTTTGACCCAGCGGACGGGGCGGCACTGCGAATCATGCCAGTTGTTTTCTCTTATCTCGGTTGTTTTGTCATAAGATATAGTACTCCAATAAATGATACTATAAATATATTTCCAAGATTATGAAATCCGTATGCACTGCCTCAAAGTTTTCATTGCTTGCTTGATCAGCCGTTTGATCAACGGTCTCACCATTGTTGCCAACTCTCGCGAGTCAAATAAGCAACCGCAGCTTCAAAAACAAGCCCAATATTTTTTGATAATTTATTATCATCAATATTATTTATTATCAATTATTTAAAAAATTTGCCCGCAACATATTAAACTGAAACTACCCTTTTATCTGAAAAGCAAAAACATAAGTTATTTTACAAAATTCAGCAAACTGCAACAAAGTAGGAACAAAACTCATCTCCAATCACCTGTGAGCAGATTAGGATTGGAGAGATGGAAAAGGAGAAAAACACAGGAGCTTCAAAGGGAGCTGTAACATAGCCACATATTTATAGCCTAGGCTATTCAAACCAACTATAGCTACTCTTAGTATTAGTATACTTGTTTTTTTAGTACAACCCCGTGATAATTACAAAAAACATTGTAAAAGTGAAAAATTAGGCTACCTTAAGGGAAAAAAAGTAATCCCCTCTACTCTACTACTATCATCGCTTGGATCACAGCAAATTCTTTTTGATTGTGATTTTCTCCAATGAGGGAGAGGAGGGGGCAGAATATTTGACAAATTAAGCTACAGCACTTATATTTTTGCTCTGATTGGCTATTAACTGTGAGCAGACAGAGTTTCAATCAATGCACTGGAGAATACACTGAACATAAATGAAAAGAAACTAAGTTGCTTGTCAGGTTTTCCTAACAAGCAACCATATTTATTTTAAATAACCCCAAAAAAACCGCAACCCGGGATTTTTTCCCGCAGCTTTACAAAAAAAGAAGAAGCCCAAAGTCGCGTATAATACGCGGACTTGGCAACTCTGGGTCTCACTAGGTAGCAGTTTATAAAGACATTTTACAAGTTTATTTCCTTTATGGACAAAAGCAACTTATGTCAGAGACAGAGTTTAGGATAAGGAATATTAACATTGTTGCTGTTTAGTTACAATGGCAAATCCATCATGGCGGAGAAAATAATCATAGATGGAGGTTTTAATCACAGGTTCCCCGATTTGTTAATCTGTGTTTAAAATTGAGTGGTGCAACACAACTCGTTTTAAAATTAAACCCAGATCAACTAATCCTTGATTAGCTCTAAACTTTGCTTAAATTAATCCTTGTTGGTGCAGCCCACCCTTGGTCTTGGGAAAATGTGATGAAAAATGCTAGAGTTCACAATAAGATCTCTGGCTTTTGATTGTAGACTTTGGTATCTTGGTGAACACATGGGAGTTCCCTTTTGAAACGGTCTGTTGCATGAATTCATGCTTTGGGACAGCACTACAAATGGTTGTGCCCTATAGGATAATATGGGGCAATTTCAGACACAGTCACAGTCTTGACATAGTGGTTTTATGTATGTAACTGGTTAATTGACTAATTTTAATCTTGCCACATCAAGTTAATTCTTAACACTTGAAGTTATTCCCATCTCATTGGCTGTTTTTTGTTTGCTGCACATGCAGCAGCATTCATATCTCCCTTAAATATTACAAAATAATCTATATTATCAAGCATTTTATTCATTTCGGTTTTAGTTGTAATAATTAACCTCTAACATCTTACGTCAGCTACTTAGGTAAAATATGAATAAAAAAGCTTTCAAAAAAGGTGTAAAAACAACTATTAACTTACTGGTGTTACTCTTGATCTCATCCTCAGTCAGAATCTTCTGGAAGGTCCTTCCCTTGTGCTCTACCTCACAAACATACCGGTTCGTCTTTGACTCCTCTGGTATAATATTGAGGGTAGATGATTTCTGGAAGGTCCCATCTACATTTGGTAGTAGCTCTCCAAGATCCACATCCTCATAGTGATCCTGTCCATTTTTTAACCAGGTGATAGTCACTGCTGCTGGGTAGAAACCTGTGGCATGACACAGCACTGGAGAGGAGGGATCCTTCTGTAACAGAGACACTTCAGGAGCTAAAAAAGATTGAGATAAATGTGAAGAAAATCTTAATACTTCAGATCAGATCAGTTAAATAAATGCATCTAAATTGTTTAAATGAAGCAATTCGTGAGAAAAAAAGAGAAGCACAAACGACTCAATTATAATAAAACATTTGTCAACTTGTTGAACAAAGTAAATTTCTGAAAGATAAGCTACCTCTTCTCTCTAAATCCACTTTCCTTAACATCAATAAATATTTTAACCAGTTAACACAATCAAGTTGGTAGTATTGTTTCAGAAATTCAAGCTGGGCTGTGTTATTATTCCACTTGACTGTTGTTATTAATCCCTGTGGTACATGTGTGATGTACTGGAACTTCTTCACGTCTAGTGAGATCAAATCCTCTCCATCATAACCGTACTGATCAAACCCACGTGAGTATCTAGTCTCATCATCCCAATCACATCCATACGTCCTCTGATACGTATGAACACCTGAAGAAGAAAAAGTGGGAACCATAAGGTCTGCTCTTTTTTTATTGTATAACGTAAGCTTTCACATTTAAAAGAGTAGTATAAAGTATTGTAACTCACCATGCGAGTGATTGAATTGCTGCATTAAAAAATGAATGTTGATTTTGTTGGTCTGCTGTACTCGTTCTCTGATCTCAGTGTATTCTTTAAATCTGTCTCCAGATGCAAACTCCTTCATCCAGTCCTGTCTGGGAATCAGCTTCTTTATCTCACTGTCATAATAATCAATCTGTCGTCCATCCAGAGTAGTCACGGCAAAAAACTTTGGGATTCCTGTAATCTTCTCTTCACTTATTTCAGTGTATGTAGTTATGAAAGTGTGCAACGCTGAACAAACAAAGACATAAAACTCTCAAACACGGTTAAACACCACATTAAAATTACTGTTTGAGACTAGATTTTAATTGATTTCTTTTTCAGAATCAGATTAAAAATACCACATGATTTTCTGTCAGTTGAACCAGTGCTGTTATCAATAACTAAAACTATATATATATATATATATATAAACATTTCTGTTAATTAAAATTAAGCTACAATAAAACAAAATTAATAATGAATAAAATATAAATTAGATATTAAATAAACACTGGATAGGTTGCCTTGGCCGATATGATTATTTAACCCTCATGTGGTGTTCGGGTCCTTTTTGCCTGGAGAAGATTTTCTTTTTCCCGAAAATACTAGTTAATGTTATCGCATTGGACTGAAATTTAGTGACTTTGTTCACAAAGGGTAGAACTACTTTTAAAAAAAATTTGATCATTTTCATACTTTTGGGGGGGAGATTTTTCACCTTGTTACCCTTGTGGTGTTCCCGGTCAAAAATGACCCGGCCTCAAAAAAATTGCTTATAAATCACTCATTATGCTATATTATCAACAAATATTGGATTCAATCTTTTTGTCAACTTCTTTTCTTTCATTTAGGACTTGTTTTGTATTTATATTTGCATCTGATTAATCGTAGGCCTCATTTATCTGAGAGTAGACACCTCATTTTTTTGAGTGAAAAAAGCATTGTTTATGAATAATTTTCACAATATTAAATAAAAACAGATGAAAATTTGTACTGTTTATCACACTAGTGTACTTTAATGTTTAATCAGGGAGTTTGCTTTTAAATGCTTTTATTTTGTACAAAATGGCACAAAGTCACACTTGTGGTGTTCCCGGTCAAAAATGACCCGGCCTCAAAAAA